GCATCTTTCCAGGATCCAAAAGCCAAGGTCCCTATCTACACAGTTGCATTATTTGTTCTTTACAGACTGGTTTTCTTTGCCTTTCTGAGCATTTTTCTTTCACATGTTCATGTTCTCACTTCAAGGGACCAGCCAGGCATGATTTATGCTTCTCAATCACAAACAACCATCTGAAGGAGAATCTGGTTGGCCCAGCTTACCCAATCAACTGTGGTCGGGGCACAAGGTCACACAGGCTGCTCAGGGTCCTACTTTTGTGAGTGATGGGGATGCAGGAAGTGCTCAGGAAACAGGCTGTGGGCTTGACAAATAACCCCCCCACACACACACACACATAAAAAAAAAGTCTGGTACACTCTTTTTGTAGATGTCTCCTGTCACACAACAAGAGATACAGGCTTGATCCGATCAGCAGAAGAGGAACTGAACTAAATGATGTCACTTGAGGTTCCATTTGTCCTTCCATCCACTGCATATCTCAGAGGGTTTAATCAAAAAATTGCAGAATGTTAGAGTTCAGCTGGAACTTTAAGAACATATAGTCTCAGCCCATCATTTTGTAGATTAGGTAACTGGGACTCAACAGAACTAAAAAATAGCCTAAGGTCAAGCACATGGTCAAGCAAGGACTCAGTCACATCTCAGACTCTCATTCCAGGATTTCCCGTCTTCCCCTGAAGCTACCTGAATACAATATTTTATCCCACAAACTAAATAGATATCAAGTCCCTTGAACAGGAATTAAAATCAATATGATATATTGTAGTATCCATCAATACTATGCTTTGGGGTTCATGACATATTTAGAGAGTCCAGCAAGGTTATGACCCTAGTCTGTTGGACTCAAAAAATTCAAATAATGCTCGGGAGAATCTCAGTTGAGGTGATTATAATTGCCTACCCAGTCCTGGGAGAGTTTCTTATGTGTGCATCCTTTCTCTCTCTCTCTCTCTCTGATCACGTGCTTCCTTCCCATCCCAGCAATTGAGGAAGGCTTTGCTAACAGGTGCATCCAGTACAGCATTACAGTTGGGAGATTTTAGAGTTGCAGTTTTAGAGTTGAAAGAGGACTTAGAGGTCATCCCTCAAGCCCTCTGAATTTTACAGATGGGGAAATTGAGGCTCATAAAAAAGGGATGTTAGGCCCAAAGGCACAGAAAAAGCTGTGTAAGCGTAACATGAACATATTCTACTTCTCATTAGTACCCTTTCCACGACTGCACCCAAGCTGTTTCTCTCCTATTTCTGTGGTGAGTTTGCTTATCACTAGCTGAGCACCCAACTGAGTAAAAGCAAAACTGTGAAGGCCTGCGTTGTCACAGGTAATATACAAATTTGATACAAAAAACAAAAACAGAAAAGCTTACAAAGGAAGGCCACCATGTGGCAGATGCTGTTGGTCCCCCGCCGACATCCTTCAGACATTACCACTCCAGTGTGCGCCAGCCCACTTCCAACTGGCAGTGTCCGCATCTTTCCCCATCTACCTTATCCCAAGGCACCATCAGCCTCTAGTGCTGGGAATTAAACTCCCACTCCAAACAGCCTCAGACAACGGCTGATCAAAGGTGGTGTACACTTCCCTCAGCCCCCCACCTATCCATGGGATAACTTACTTTGGCTCAGAGCCTCCCAGGGGGATTAAGCTCCTCACCTGCAGAGGTAGCTGGCCTGATAAACACATGCTGTCCTGGCTCTTCCCTTACCCATCTCACTCCCTCTACTCTTCTGCTGGTGTTTCATTCATCTTCAAACAACTACATGTACTCAAATCCTTGTCTCGGGGTCTGTTTCTAGGGAACACAAACTGAGAAAGCTTTATAAGAAGTGTGCATCCTCCCTGGCCTAGAGAACAAAGTGCATTTTCAGGATAGGCTAGGTTCCATGACTGTAACAAAAAATAATTTCAGTTACTTCACACACAGTTTATTTCTCACAGTCTGCGAAGGTTGGGTGACTCTTCTCAGGCAGCTTTTCTCCAGATGGCCACTCAGGGATCCCTGCCCTTTCTATGTGTGGTTCTAGTATCTTGAAGCCCTCTTCTTTCAGCCACATGGAGGATGGAAAAAGAGAGAATGGAAAATTACAAGATGTCTTAAGGGCCAAGCCTAGAAGTATTGTATGTTGCTTCCACCCATATTCTATTGGCCAGAATTCGGTGATATAATCTTACCTGAATGATTGTTGTGTGTCTAGGGAAGAAAGTAAATGGTTTGGCGAAAAACATGCCATTGTTTTTGCCATACAGATGCGCAGGGTGTCGGGCTGGAACTTAGAATTGGAGAACCCATCCTTGCAGGCTATAGCCCTGGTCCAGGAAAAAGGTTATTGCTTAGCAGCAGCAACCTCTTCTTGGCCTTCGTCTACCATACCTCCTGAAGCCACATCTCCTGCTGATCCTACCTGCAGCCCTTGGATGGCTTCAGTCATTCATTTAGCACACAGTGTTTGAGCACCTACTGTGTACCAGATTCTATGATGGGCACTGGAGAACTGCTGGTTCCTAAAGCACTGGTTTGGGCCATAGTAATAGGTGTTTCAATGGTCTTCACCCATCATTCAGTGGGAACTTGCATCTATGTTACGCAATAAGCTTCCCTGGGAGCCAGCTCTTACAGGGCAGGTATGGGGATTCTGGAAGCCTCCAGCACTGCACATCCCTTTATCCCCCACCAGTTCCCTAAAATGAGACTGGACTTCTGCTGAGCTTCCCTCTCTGGGGTCTGCTAAGTTCCCCAGTCTCCTCTAGGATGGCAGTTCTTAGACCTGGAGGGTAAACAAAGGTTGTGTCTTTATTCTCACTACCCTGTAATTCATGGGTCAGCACGCTATGGCCCACAGGCCAAATCTGGCTTACTACCTATTTTTTCATAGCCTGCGAGTTATGAATGTTTTTTACATTTTCAAATGGTCAGATAACACAATCAAAAGAGGAATAATATTTCATGACTTGTAAAACTTATATGAAATTCAACTTTCACTGGCCATAAATAAAGTTTTATGGGAACACAGCCATGCTCATTCATTTACATATTATCTGTGGCTGCTTTCATGCTACGTCAGCAGAGTTGAGTAGTTGCCAACAGAGACCATATGGCTCACAAAGCCTAAAATATTTACTATCTGCCCCTTTACAGAAAAATGTTTGCCGACCTCTGTCTGCTGTAACCAAAAGTTAGCATCTTCTGCAGTTATGAATGAAGGCAATAAACCAGAGTGGTATTCACAGTACCCGTGACTTTGTCACCAATAGAATTCAAAGATATTTTCATAACATATTGTCATTATGTATCTTAAAATATCACTTATAATCATCATTATTTCAAAATTAGAGCAATTGTTAGACTCATAATTTTATCTGGTCATTTTAAAGCATTAAAAAAGAAACACATCTATTATTACATCACATATTTGTGTGGTTTTATAATTTTTTGATAGCTGTATTTCAATATAATTGTGATCCCATGTATTTTGGTTTAGTATTTATAAACATTATTAGAAGGTGACCATAGGCCTCAACAAACTGCTGGAAGGTTCATGGCACAGAAAGAGTAAAAGTCTCAGCTCTAGGAGAAAGAAAATCTATCTGGCATGGTCCTGATTCCCCACCAAAGTCTAGCCAGTTCTCTTGTACAAGGGGATGGAGCCACCTCCCTGTATCCCATCTACTCACTGGGAATGGAGAACTCACATTGGAACAAGGAGCTTGTTCCTGACCCCCGTTATCACGTAATACGGGAATCCTCAGCGGCATTCAATTCTTTCCCTCAGTATTGCCGGAGTACCTTTGCCATGCCCTTAGGGCTTTTTTCTTGAACTTCCCAGACACCCTTATCCAGCCAGCCTCAGGAGGGCTTTGACATTAGGGTCCATAGACTCTGTTAGAGACCCTGAAGCTCATTTTCAGGATGGAGGTTGGAGAGGGATGGCAATGCCAAGGCCCAGGGACTGAGAGTCAAAGGGGACCCCTTTGCCCTTTCCTCACCCCTCATTCATACAAGAATGTCATCTTTACTTAGTTAAATCCATGTCCCTTGGGGAGCTTGTTTTGCTTCACACAGGAAGTGCCACATTCGACTTTGTATGGGGGGGGCATACTTATTGTCCCTAAGGTCCTTCCATCTACAATACAGATATTGAATCTAAAATTTCCACTTGAGAATTTTGTAGACTCTTAAATGGTCACATGACTGTCAACTAAGCCATATATACATGAAAACCTTCAGAATAAATACAGAGGACATTAATAATGGCATACATGCTCAAATTAGCAATGTGGTTAAGACCCTAAATATTTATTTTTCTTCTGAAAAGGTACCTGAACTTTCCTAGCAAGAGAACATAATTACATAACTACGTGTGTGTGGCCCAGGTAGATTTTCAGAGCCAGTGAAGGTGTGGCAAGGCTGCTGGGTGAGGACAGGGCCCAGAGGTAGATATTCGAAAGCAGAGACTGACAACCTGAGGAAAGCAGGTTGTTGGTGAAGGTTAACTTCCTGATCCTTCATTCCTCAGGAAGTCTCCTCACAGAGGCCACAAAATTCTCTTCCTGAAAAGGAAAACCTCCCAGAATGGTCTTGGTGATAAGTTACCACCTCAGTTACCACCAAGGATTCCAACATTCAGGTGTCATCTACTAGACATTGACCAAGAATCTTCTGGTCAACCCTTCGATGAACCAAGTCTGAGAAAGCTGCTACTATTTGCCTGGACCTACTGAGTCCATCTTGGTTTTCCAGGAAAGCCCCAGGAAAACTGGGACAGGTTGGCTACCCTACAAAAGACCCTCCATTCTGCCCTCTAGACCTTGCCAGTTGCTTCACTGGGTAACTATAAGCAAGTCTTAATTTCTTCACATATGATAGGACAGACTTGCATTTTGTAGAGACCAGCCTGCTAAACAGGCTATTGAGCCCATTTGTTTATACCCTGGGGTCAAAATACTTGCAAAGAACAAAGCCGGTTTCTATCATTGCTTTGATACACACTATCATTATTACCTCTTGCATTTCTCTACTTCATTTCCTTCCAAAGGACATTCACAGTTATGGTCTCATTTTTTCCCAACAACCCTGCAAAAGAGAAAAGAGAAGAATGAGATACAGAAATTAGGACGATCCCCACTCTACACATGTCCCAGGAAGAAGTGACTTTCCCAAGGTTACTTGGTGAGTGGGCAGGTAAGTGGGCTATTCTCTGGATAGCTGCCCAGCACCTGTTGCTCAGAGTCCTCGCATTTGAGTAACCCTGAAAGCTGATGATATTCTGCCCCACAGTGTCTCTTGTACCACCTACCCTAGCTCTGGCCTCTCTTGCAAGAGCAGGTCCAGTGTTTCACAGGTAACACAGACTCACAGTCACAAAACGGGGTATGGCTAAGAGAGGACACTGATGAGACTTTAAAGATGGAGTTATTGGCTGATAAGATAATGAACCCCAAAGTGGATAATAATATTGAGCTCTAAAGGGAATAATAGTATTGATCTATCTCATCAAGCCTGTTGGGAGGATTAGCTCACTGGCAATTGTAAAGAACTTTGCAATGAAGGAGAATAAGTCATAACACATTTGACAGTGACCTTACCCCCTTTGGGATGCCTCTCCCTGGAATGATTTAAAGTGGTCATCTGGATGCCATGGCAAGCAAGACCTGCCTGATGGCACCCTTCATCCCTATGCTCCCTGTGTGTAGTTCTGTGCTCTTTAACTCAACCATAAGGTGAAGGCTTGCATTTATTCAAAAAACAAAACTACAGTGAGACAGCATTTGACTTTTGGGCTCCTACTGAGAAGGAGAGGCATGGCAAAAGTGTTAGATGTTTATAAGAACTCCAGATAAATTCAACACTCTTGTCTCTGGCCACAGAAGTCACAGTGGAAGAGTCACGCTTAGAAGAATAATCAGAGGTGGCCAAAAGGGGCTCTGCCACATGGGGACTTGAGAGAGGCCATGTAGGAGGCACTGATGTTATGGTTCTGACCTGGAGTTCTGTCTACTGCCATTAGGAAGACATTAGCTCCCTCTCACCCACTTCCATAGCCTGCCTATGTTAAAATGGATGGGTTGTTTTCACAATGCCGTTATTATAGTAGTACTGGTTTCAGAGTAGGTGTTTAATAAATGCTGATTGATTGATGTTCTGGTGTTTGTGAGTGCTTTATGTGATTACTCACAAGCAAGCTTTTCTGATTTTGCCAATGCTTTGCACTGAGCCACAAGCTCTCTGTCCCAAGCCTTTTGTGAAAAATAAATGAATGAATGAAGTAGCTTGCTCAGGGTCATGCAGCTTGAAAGTGGTAGAACCAAGATGACCCCAGAGCTTTCGACACCAAGCCTAGGGTTTCTTCTGCTCTGCAATCCTGTTCTCCATTACCATACTGCAAACCAAACACAAGCCTCCAAGGGGACTTATCTCCCATGCCTGTTTTTCTTTTCTCTGTGCTCCAACCAACTGAGCTAAGTATGAACTTGGCAATATTCAACCATTCAAGGGAGGCCATTATGCAGGGGATTGTACTGACTGTGCTAGGGCCAGCCTATTCTCCCTGGCATCCTAAGGATACCTCTAGGGGATACCTGCAACCCTTTTTTTGCACAGAAAAGTAGTTAAGTTCACCTTGCTATTCTAGATGCTTGCATTTTCCTCCTGTCCTCTCAATTCTTCCCATCTCAAAGACATTTTAAAGAAAAAGATTTAAAATTGCTTGGAAATTGAAGTAAGATTGCCTGGTTATTGATTCAAATTCTGGCAAGTCTGACTCAGCTGTTACACTTGTTACTGCCACCAATTCTGATGGCTAATGAAGGATTCCAAGGAGTTGGGCTGTGACCAAATGATACAAGAATCCCTCACCCCCCTCCACCTCCATGCAAGGGAATTTGATATTTACATTCCAGCTGAGGTCCTATTGCAGGATGCTAATTGGGATTTCAGTTGGTCCCTCTCACTCTAAAATTTTTCTTAAACTAATATTTCTGGCTCTTTGTTCCTACATCTTAACAGTAGACAACAAAAATCTCTTGAATAGCCACAGAATGACAAGAGCTGGGTTTATCCAGCAATTTGGCAGATAAACACAATAAAAGTAGCATTGGAAGCACTGCTATTGGGTATGTGATAGGGAATGTGCTGTGACAAAGAAATCTTATACTTTATGTCATCCTCTACATAGAAAAGAATCTGGGTCTATTGCATCTTATAAGCAAAAAGATATTAAAGAGACAATAAGATAATAGTAATAACAGTTTGCATGTGTGATAAAAAGGTTAGAGACATAATCATACAGACCCGAATCTACTTATTTTTTAGGCTTCCTTTAGCAAATTTTCTTTGCTTGGTTTCTATGGAAACTGGAGACTGCACATGAGCTAGAGACACTCAGTAGTCTTTCCTGGCAAATGTGTCCATTTAGATTTCTATGCTTTAAGCAATGTCATGTTTTAATCATTAAGACTAAAGTAACAAATAATACTAATCCATGCACTGTACTCTCCCAATTATTGCTGAGATGTTGATAGATTGATAGCTACCATTTATAGCCGTGTTCCAGGACATATACTAGACAATTATATATTTTAACTCACTTAATTTTCCCAGCAGCCCCTGTAGGTTTGGTATCTGTAACAATCGGGGTCCAGCCAGGAAAATGGAAACCACTCTAGGTCCTTCAAATAGAAGGAATTGAATACAGGAAATTAGTTATACACGTGACAGAAGAGCTGAGAGGCCAAACAGGGCTGTGAGGTAGCTCAGAAAGTAGCAAAAATAAGAAGCTGCTATCAAGCCTGGGGCTGCAGAGACAATGGGAAGTGGTCAGTCATGTTTCAGTGCCCAAAAGTTGTGGCTAAGTGGTAGGAGGTAGAACTATCATGGGGACTGCATGTAGGAACTGAGACCATGGAGGGAGGGACTGCTTGGTGGGCGCTGGGGCTACAAAGAAGACTACTTCCAGCACACCACAGGAAGCAAAGAGAGAACGAGAGAGGAGTACCCTGCCTTCTAGCTTCTTCCTGCCCTCTTATCTTCTCTCCAGGCCTCCTATCGGCCACATCTGCATGGGGGCCAGAAGTCAAAGGATCCTAGGAAATAAGATCCCCTATGATACAGAATAGAGCAGAGGAAGTACAGGAATGACTCTGGGAGCAAACCAGTAGTTGATTAGCGAAGCATTACTACACCCATTTCATGGATAAAAACTGAGGCACAGAAAGATAATTTTCTTAGAAAAATAGTAGCAAGTAAAATGACTTATTATCTGATTAAGAGTCTTTTATTCACTTTATGATATCTCCTGTGGAGAAGAAAAGGACTTCTTCACACACATGGCAATCCTATACAATGTGTCCTTCACCTAACTATGCCTGCTTGATTGTGAAAACATTTAGTTGTGGGGGGTCTGCCCATCTAAAATTCACCCATTTGAAGGGTTCTGGATATTAATTTGATGTGTGCTTATAATTCCAAATGGTTCAGCCTGACCCATAGTCATGTATGCCTTTGGTCATAAAAATAAGAAAAGGACCTCTTATTCACTAGTGACATGGCCCTGGAAGTAGAAGGAGACAGGACTGATAAGAAACCTCACCTTTCTCATAGTTGCTGGAGAACTATGATTACAACTGGGTAGAGTATCACAAAGAATGATGGAGAAAAGCAGGTGAAGATTCCCAGTTACAGTTTTCTTCATGTTTGACTATCTGCTACTGCAAACCTGTTAAAGAAATCTATCAGGGGAAAGCTAAAATCCCTACCTCTCAACTTCATCTTTTCTCTGAATTGAGTGAAGAAGACCATTTAGCTGAGGAACACCTTGGCCAACCTTGTAGAGAATTATTCCATCTAATAATGCCAGAATAGACCTCTCTTAGAGGCATTGGTGTTTTAAAAGAGTTTGCTTGCAAACCAAGAAATCTTCTAATATAAGGATCTTCAGTAACTGGCAATAGAGGAGAACAATTTTGGATAAATCATTCTCTTTCCCTTTAAATGTATGTTCTATGTGAAAGAACGTCTGTACTGGTAAGGCCATTTGTAATGTTTACATTAGTAGACAATCCGTGAGAACATGAGGATGCTCTATCTTCCTTCCAAAGGGTCAAAGTGCATGCCCCATTAATGACCCGTGAAGGAGGATGTTGTCCTCCCACTGAGTCCATGAGGCCAGCCAGGGAAGGTGGTGTACTCTGCTCCTTCCAGGCATGGCATGGTTCTGGCCAGGACCTGATCTTCTTCCCAGAAAAACAAGCAACTGGAGGGAAACTGAAGCAAGCAAAGTATAAGTCCTCCTATTCCCCGAAAAAAGACTTTTCCAGAAATAATGAAATTTAAAATAGCTTTGCTATTGGCAGCAATGGATATTAAATGACCAGGAAGCCTTAACATCCACTTTCTCACCATTGATATGAAATAAAACACATTTGAGGAACAAAGAATACCTGCTGATTTTGCCAGATGCTTGCCTAAAGACAAGAGAGAGAAATCCCATACCTTGTGACTTCCCTGAGTTTTCTCCAGGGTTAGGTCCAGGATGTGTGGGGCCTGATGCCGTTCTAGGGACCCTCTTTAACAGAAAGAATGCAGGCTGGGCACAGTGGCTCATGCCTGTAATCCTAGTGCTTTGGGAGTTTGAGGCAGGAGGATCACTGGAGGCCAGGAATTAGAGACCTGGCCTAGGCAACATAGTGAGACCTCATCTCTACAAAAATATATATATATAAAATTAGGCAGTCATGATGGTGCATGCCTGTAGTCCCACCTACTCAGGAGACTGAGCCACGAGGATCACTTGAGCCCAGGAGTTTGAGGCTGTAGTGAGTGAGCTATGATCACCTCATAGTACTCCAGCCTAGGTGACAGAGCAAGACCCTTTCTCCAAAATAAATAAATAATGTTTTAAAAGAATGTACAATTAATGAATGCAAATTTAGGTATAAAAATGCTCATTCACTTAAAATGAGAAAAGAGATCAGAACACATTACAAAATTTTTAAAAGCTGACAGATGCCAAAAACATTGCAAAATCTAGAATGTAACACTTTTGTTAATTAACTGCTTGACACACCTTTATAATA